ACATGAGAGATTTTTCGACCAAGTCACGCCCAGCCCGCCTCCGCCCAGTCCGCCGCCGCCGCATCCGCCCTCGCCGTATCCGCCCTCGCCGCCGCCGCCCTCGTCACGCCGCCCTCATCGCCGCCTCCGAGCCTGCCGCCTCCCTCGCCGCCTCTACCGTCGCCGCCCCCACCGAGCCCGCCGTTGCCGCCGCCGCCGCCGCCCAGCCCGCCGCCGCCCAGCCCGCCGCCGCCCAGCCCGCCGCCGCCGTCGCCGCCTCCCCCCTCGGCGCCGCCGCCGCCCTCGCCGCCGCCGCCCTTGCCGCCGCAGCCCTCGCCGCCGCAGCCCTCCCCGCCGCCTCCGAGCCCGCCGCCTCCCTCGCCGCCTCCACCGTCGCCGCCCCCACCGAGCCCGCCGCCGCCGTCGCCGCCGCCGCCCTCGACGCCGCCGCCCTCGACGCCGTCTTTCTTACCACCGCCACCGCCACCGCCGCTGCCCGGGGCGCTGCCGCCGTCGTCGTTGTCGCCGTCGCCCCGACGGCGCAGCGGCGGCGCAGCCACCCGCTTACGCGTTACGGCATCGTCTTGGGGTTGTGCTCGCGCCGGCCGACCTCGCCGAGCCGCTAGCGCGCGCGAGGGAGGCATGTGCGTTGCGCCGCTCAGCGGCCGTGGAGGGCGAGCGCGGGGGATGCGCGCGCTCACTAATAAGTGCTACATTGTGCGTGCTGTATGTCGGTCTGCACACTGTACAGTGCCGCGGTGCCAGTGGGGTGTGAATGTGAACACTGACCCTCACACACTAAGGGTTGGTCAACCATGTGGGTGTCTATGTGTTTCCCTCGGGCAGTAGATTCTTATTTCATCGTCAAAAAGCGCCCGTATTCACTTGCCAAAATCGCGACCCGGGGTGTTCGACCGGGCTTACTCAAAAAAAAATTGCTTTCGAAGAAAAACGGGCACGCATAGTCTCCCCCCTCCATTCTCTCCCCCTTGGCGCTCCGTGTAACGCGTACTAGTGTAGGCTAGGTGTGCGGGCACGATGGGAGACGGTGTTTGCGCTGGGTTAGGGTGCCCACAGGACCCAAAAAAAGAAAAGAAAAAAGAAATGGGCCACCCCCGATCGCAGCACTTCGTGTTGGCTAGTCGAGATATTGAGAGTGTGACTAGGAGGGTGGGACGCTGGGGATTCTCAAAGGTATACCCTTGGAATGGCCGGATCCAGCCTTAAAAGTACGAGATCGCGCGCGCTTCGGACGCGCGCTGCACCGCCTATTCTCCGCGGCTGTGTGACGACGCGTGCCGTGTGCCAGCAGAGTTGGGCGCGCGCGGGCGCGACGGCGCCCGCGAGGGAAGGCGCGGGCGCAGCGGCCGCCGGCGGCCGTACCGCCCGCCAGCCGGCGCAGCAGCGGCCAGCGCAGCGGCCGCCGGCGCAGCAGCCAGAGCAGCCGGTGCGCGCCTTGCGAGGCGAGTACTGCCGCCCGGCAGCCTTGAGGCGGCCGGGCGGCAGTACTCGTTCGAATGTTGCGAGCCGTGCGCGCGCCGAGGCGCCCGCGGCGCGCGCCCGCCCGGCTGCCAGTAGGAGGCGGCGCAATATGGCCTATAGTACAGCCCTTGAGGAGGAGGAAGAGGCTGGCTGGCAGTGCTGTATGCCGCCGAGGGGCAGTTTTGGGGTGCTGTCACGGGCCCAGGGGGCTGCAGAACGCGTCCGCAGCCGGGACAACCCGCCCCCCCAGCCGAGGCCGGTCGAAGCCCACTTGACCACAGCCATGAGGAGTCCTCTTGGTGCTCCTGGCGGCCGTTTGAACCTCGGGCGCGCGCCGATGGGGGGGGGGGGGGGGTCTTGCTTGCTCCACACCGAGCGCCATCGGTCCGGACCGGCGTGGTCACCGAGGGTCGGCTTGCACAAGGTCTGAGCCGCGGGCGCTCGGCGCCAAGTGCAGTGTCGGAGGGCGCTTGGGTCTAAATTTAGTGCGCGTGAATGAACTTTAGTGATAGTTTAGTGCGCTATTTAGTGCGTGTTCGAGTGCGTGTGTAGTGCGTCTTTAGTGCAAATTTAGCACAAATTTAGCACAAATTTAGCGCAAATTTAGCACATATTTAGCACATATTTAGCACATATTTAGCACATATTTAGTGTGTTTTATCTCCAATTTAGCGCCACATTTAGTTCACTTTAGGTGCGGGCAGCTGCAGTACATTTAGGGGTCCCGCATCTTTAGTGCGGGCACGCAACTTTAGCACGGCTTCCCAGCCACACCACAGCTAGCCAGGGCCGCGTCCTGCTTTTGCGTGTCGAGCTTGCGCTTGAGGACAGAGCCGGCCTTCCTCACCTCGATGATGACCGCGTCAAACATCACCGCGGCGCAGTCGCTCGCGTTGAGGCGCAGCTTGAGGTCCTCCACCTTGGTCGACGCCGGCAGGTTGAGCGTGCCCCTCGCATCTCCCTGCTGCCACAGCAGCGCCTCGAAGCAGCGCCACCATCGTCTGCTCTGCCATCGCAGTAAAGTCGTTATGTTCACGCCCCGCTTCCCGGCAATCGTTTTGCCGCTCGGCGGGCCCGGAGAAGCAACCCGGAAAGCACCGAGGTTGATATTCACCTGGGTTTTTCGTTCGGTTTGGGGACGGGACGGGGAACTTTTGCGAGTGGGCAGGGGACTGCAGGGGGACAGGGGGAGGGAGGCCCAGCGAGGGGCTGCGGCTGGATCCTACTGCGCGGCTGGACTAAAGACGCACTAAACCTCGCTAAATCTGGATGTAAAGTCGCAGTGAACTCGCGCTAAATTTGCGCTAAATTTGCGCTAAAGTTGTTCAAAAGTTGCGCTAAATTTGCACTAAAGTTGCGCTAAATTCGCACTAAAGTTGCGCTAAATTCGCGCTAAAGTGCGCTAAAGATGCAGTAGATAAACACTTCACACCGCACTAAATTTAGACCCAAGCGCCCTCCAGTGTCACGCTCGTGCTCGCGCGTGACAAACCGGGGAACCCTCGTTTCCTCGCTGACCCTGCCAAACTCTCTCGCCGCCGTTCGCGGCTCGGCTTGCGTATGCGGCTGGGAGCTTCGAGGACATGCAGGCGTCCCGCCCCCTCCGGCCATCCCCCCCGGCTCCCAAGTGCGCGGCCGCGACGCGCTGCGCACCCTCTTCCGCGCTGCGCCCGCTCTCGGCATGGCCGTCGTCCGCCGAGATCACCTCCTCTTCGCGTCGCAGGTGCACAACCAAGGGCTGGCCATCTCCGTATCCATCATGGTGAAGCCAATGGGCCAAAAATGGAGGGAGCGCCCCTCCCAGGTGGCCGGAGGGTACACCTCGGGTCGGCGTGCTGGGGGGGGCGCCGGTGCGCAAGCCCATTGACCCCAGTCAAGGTTATGGGAGCGGCCATAACAGGTGTTATGGCTGTTATGGCTGGCTGCTCATAACACCTCATAACACCTCATAACACCTCATAACACATCCATCGCTGTTATGGCTGTTATGCCCACCCTACCATGACACCTCATAACACCTCATAACACCTCATAACACTCATAACACATCCCACTGGTTGTTATGACAGCCAGCATAACAACCTCATAACAGCTGTTATGTGTCCCACGGATTTTTCTTTTGGAGCCCCGCCGCGCGTATCCCGGCGTTCGCCGGTAAATTCTTCTTTCGCACAACACTGGGCACGGGTAAGATTCTTCTTTCGGAAATTGTAAAATTCTTCTTTCGGAGCGCCCGCCAACCATGGCCTACCGGATGAAGATGTTCAAGAGCCAGAAGCCCTCGTCGGTTGACCTGCGTGACCTGCGCGTCTCCGACTTCAAGAGGGTTCCCGGCTTCAACTATGTGTCGGCGGAGGACGAGCACACGGACAACTCGCTGTGTGCTCTGACATCCGAGAGGCGTGGGCCATCAACGCGTCAAACGGCCTGCAAATCTACGCGTTTCCCGAGGGATCGAAGGACGAGTCGGCGACGTGTTTGTCAACACGCCGAAAATGTTTCAGAGCGTCATGTCCGTTTGGTGTGCCCGGCCATCCGACCTCGGCTCGGACATGTGGCTAGCCGTCGTCGAGATTCCGAGCAAGCAGCAGAACGCGCCCCTGTTCGGCACGTTGGAAGTGGCGGCTCCGCTGAGCGCGTGTTATTGAATTTAACTTGAGGGCAAAAGAGAAAATATTTGGCGATCGATGCCGACCGAACCTCGCGCGCGGGACCTGTTCCTTTTTACCCATCTCACAGTAGAGGTGTCCGTTTTTATTTACTCGCGCGCGGCAGCGAGCGCGCGAAGCGAAATTCCAGCGGCGAGCAGTTCGGTGTGGCCTCGCTTGCGTCTCGGGCCATAACACCGTGGATCCGGGACGGCTCTCTCATAGCAGCCCATAACATGTTGTGGGTGTTATGGGCGGTGAGGAGAGAGCCGTCCCGGATCCACGGTGTTAGGGGCCGTGACGCAAGCGAGGCCACACCGAACTGCTCGCCGCTGGAATTTCGCTTCGCGCGCTCGCTGACGCGCGCGAGTAAACTAAAACGGACACTGTTACTGTGTGATGCGTAAAAAGGAACAGGTCACCGCGCGCGATGTTCGGTCGGCATCGATCGCCATATATTTTCTCTTTTGGCCCCCAGTTAATTTCTATGAACTCGCGCTCCGTGGTGCCGCTTCTTGCTTACGTGCTGAACTGAGTCGCGTTT